TTTTTGATAAATGGAGAAGATCCTTGTGGGTTTCAAGGGAGTATGAGAAGGAGTTCCATATAGTTGCTCCGACGAACTTGCACCTGAGTTCCTCCTTGCATCAAAGTTTGTCTTGAGAGAAATTTTGGGAATATCTCTTTGGTGATAAAATACTCGACTACTCAGTCACACTTAGGAAGGTGAAAGTGATTCCGAGGTTCTCTGCCTTCATCAAGAGGGTAAAAAAGGATTTTGAGGTTCTCAACTTCACCAAGAGGGTGAAAAAGGATTCCAAGGTTCTCTGATTTCACAGGAGGGTAAAAAGAATTTCATATTCTCTGCCTTTATCAGGAAGGTGAGAAAGGATTTTAGGTCCTCTACTGCACTGAGTTGTGGAAGAGATTTTGTAAGGGCTTCTCCGTCTAGCGGTGGGGGCTAAAGAATAATCACTAAATGTTTAGTGCAATATATGGAGAGGACTTTAGGAAGTGAATGTAGGGCATGATTTGACCGACCCACCATAAAATTCTGATTTGTTTGTTCAAATTTTTTATTTTTCATATTTTACTTTTTCACATTTAATTTTTTGTGATAATTACTTGGTGAAAATCTATAATAGCTATTTTGTTGTGTTGATTAGAATATCATCTTCGCTATTGTGTCTTCTTACAAGTTAATTAGCTTACGCGTCAAAGTGAAAGTATTGATTTCGTATTAGTGTGTATAGGGACAAGTTCACTTAAGGCTTAATTACCTTATCGAGCTTTCAATTGATATCAGAAAGATACTAAAAAATAGTGTTTTAAAAAACCTAGAGAAAAATGATCAATATCATATTTTGGAAATAGGAACACCGTAAAAGGTTACTCTATAACTTTTCCACCTTTGTTTGATATTATTCTGTTTAATTTTTAGAAAATTTGCATTTTTACTTAATTTCCTGTAATCAATTCATTTTTGAATGTGGCATATGATTCAAACTAATTATTATGTACCATCACGTATTATTGATGGAGTCAAACTTACATTCCTTTTACTAAATGGAGTAGATAAGAAAAAAATTTTGCACAACTAAATGCAAATTGCTTAAACTTATTTTTTGTGCACTTAAGTCTGAAGATTTAATGAGATATTCTACCTGTACCACCGGTAAGAATTTTTGGAATAGACTATGCATTACATACGAAGATATTACTGAAGTCAAACAATCTAGGTTAAATGTATTATTGCATTATTATGAACTTTTTATCATGAAATCCTATGAGACTATCTCAGACATGTATACTATATTTAGTCAGATAGTGACATCATTGTATGCTTTATGTAGAGAATTTTCAAACTCAAAGAAGGTCAACATAAGTTTACATTATCTACCTAATAAGTTTTATGCCAAAGTCACTCTTATATGTGAATCGAAAGACTTGAATGCTTATTTTATTGATAATATATTTGGCTCACTCATTGCCTATGAGCAAAGTGTAAGTAAAAAACTTTTGGATGTAGGTGATAAGAAGGCTATAGTGCTAAAGGCCAAAGACACAAATAAAGATGGCTTAGAAAATGATGAGAATAAGGAGATAACATTAATAACAAGCCAAATCAAAAAATATCCTTAAGCCTAAGCATAAGCATCAACTAAAATGGAGCAAATGTAAAAATAGTAAAAACAATAATTTCTCTTCTCACGTTATTTGCTTTGGTGTAGAAAATTTGAACATCTGAAATATAAGTGCCCCAATTTTAAGAGACACCTTGTAAAGGAAAAGGGTGATGATAAGCCAATTGTAATAAGAGGAATTGATAAGAAGCAAAAAATCTAATATGCAAATTTAGCTTCTGACTCATCAGAATTGATCCAATTTGATGAGGTAACAACCTTATGCTGAACAGTCAAGGATTCAATTGTTAATTTCAATCAAGTATAAATTTTGTTTGTGTGTTTATTTATTCTTTTTTTAATAATTATATTTTATGTATGATTGTATATTGTCATTTACTTTTGCATGTAATTCAAATTTAGGTGTTATATTCTCTATCTTTTTTGGTGATGTCAAAAGAGGGAGAAGATATTTGATTGCATTTGTTCATTTGTCATTTATTTTCAAAATTTTGTATTTTTTTCATATGTTATTCAATTTCAATTTTTCTTAAATAAATTAAAAAATTGAAAATAAAATATTTTCTCCTATTTTTAATACAATTCTCTTAGTGAGAGGGAGATTGGGAGAAAATGATATCAGTATGCAAATTCAACCAATAATGTTTGTTGTCATCATAAAAAATGGGGAGATTATTGTAACTCGAACTTCCAAGTTTATGATTTTTAAATTATAACAAATATTATTGATTGCATCTTTATGTCTCATAGTATTTTTAGTGCATTTTTTTTTTGTATTAACATTTCAGATACATCATGCAGAATTCAATGACGATATAGGGCTCAAGATTGGGTAGAATAGATATGTTAAAAAGGTATATAATTTTTATTTAATTATTATTTTAATTTTTTTAGTTAAGTCTTGTAAAGATGTATGTTAGTGTGGTGAACATACACACACACACACATAGGAGAGTGAGATAAAGAGAAGAATCATAAGAAATATTTTATAAATTAATAGTATTGTATGATATGTATCATACTATACAATCAACTTATCAGAAAATCATTAAAATGATTAATTATGACAATCAAAGAAATTTAAATTAATCATATTGTACAATACATATCATACAGGACAATCAATTTAAATCAAGATCCCAGTTGCCATTCATAATTTAGACAATATTTTAAAATTCAAATTATATACTAATCGTACTATACGATATATATCATATTATACGATATAATTAAATCTTGCCTAAATTAATAATGTAATTAAGGATCAAATTTGAATTAATTTATTCAATAAGATCAAACCTATGATTTTACAAATCATACTGTACGACCAGATCTTTGTACGGGACAATATTTTATCATCGCTAATTGTACAAGCCGATAATCCAATTTGATTGTACTAATCATATTGGACGATGATCATATTGTACTAGACGATCATCTCAAATACTTGAATTGATCGACAATTCCTCACTCTTTGTACAATACTAATAAGGATATATTAAACTAATCTCAATATACGATCCCGAATCGTACTATACAATTATAGAAGATAATTAAGTTTTTATGGCTTTTCTAAACCCTCTATTTAAGCTTTCTCATTATATTTTGTAAATCGTTTTTTCATCACTGAGTTTTTTTATTTTGAAGACAGCTTGAAAAGAGAGCCTAGACCTTGGGAGAGAAATGGTGAAATTTGTAAGAAAGGGAGAATATCCTTGAGGGTTTCAAGGGAGTTTGAGAGTAAGTTCCACACAGTTGCTCCAACGAACTTGCACATGAGTTCCTCTGTGCATCAAGGTTTATCTTGAGGAAAGTTTTAGGAAGAAGAACTCTTTGGTGACAAAGGACATAATTACTCTGCCGCATCAGAGAAGGTAAAAGTGATTCCAAGATTTTCTACTTTAACCATAAGGGTGAAAACATATTCAAAGGTTCTATGCCTTCACCAGGAGGGTGAACAAGAATTCCAGGTTCTATGCCTTCACCAGAAAGGTGATAAAGGATTTCAGGTCCTCTACCCACAAGGTTGGTGAAAAAAATTTTGTAAGAACTTCTCTACCTAACTATGAAGGCTAAAGGAGAGTCACTAAAAATTTAATACAATACTTGGAGAAGAGGACTCTAGATAGTGGACATAGGTTATTATTTAATCGAACCATTATAAATTCTATGTGTTTATCCTGATTTTCTATTTTTCACATTTAATTTTCTATGATAATTGCTTGGTGAAAATCTATGATAGTTTTGTTTTGTTGATTAGAATATCATCATCGCTATTTGATCTTCTTACAAGTTAATTAGCTTCTAAATCAAAGTAAAAATATTGCTTTCGTATTATTGTGCCTAGGGACAAATCCACTTAAGCTTAACATCCTTATCGAACTTTCAATTCTTATACAATAACTGCACTCTAATAATTCTCTGAAAGTATAAATGAAAATACATAATATTCTATTCTGCTCTGGCAGCCAATACATTTCAATATTCATATAACAGGACACCCTTATGACACTGAAAAGAAAATTAAGATGACTTGTAATTTTGCAAATCTACTTGCAGTCCACAACAAGCTTTCTTGTAGGTACAATTATGAGTTAATTGTAATGAATTAAGATCATTTTTCATGACTTGCTATGGGGACCAAAATACACCACATAGCAAGTGTGAGATTCATTAAAAAAATAGAGGAAATAGAGTAACAATGAAATCCCAACAATCTTCATGTTCCAAGTCAAAACCCCAGAAGAAGCAACTGAGATATCAACTTTGAAATTTATTTCACTCATAAGCTTAAAATAAAAGAAGAAAATACAATTAAAAACCTAGAAAATAGAGTCATCATGCAATTTACCATAGAGACATTCATAAGGACAGTATGTGCTGTTAGTAGCAAAAGAAAATTCAACTGATGATTTAAAATCTATTAGGATGACTAACGCTTTTTTATAAAGTTGGTTGTAAAATTATTATGATTTTTTTTTTTTGCATGTTATTGTAAAAAAAATACAAGCTCCTAGTATTAATAAATTTAAAAAAAAATTGCCGTACTTGACACATATAAAAAATAATGCTTTATTTACCATACTCAACACAACTAATAAAGATAATCACAGATGCATAACAAAAGTGAATTTTTTTCCCTCATATTTTTAGCATGTTTGAGGCTTCGTTTGGGACGATTTTTTTTACCGCTTCTTAAAACAACTTTTTAGTACAAAAATTTTAATTTTTATACTAGAAAGCAGCTTTAAGAAGCCGTAAGAAAGCCGTCCCAAACGAAGCCTAAGACTTCATTTGAGACCACTTTCTTACTAATTTGTACAATAGCTTTAAAAAGCAGCAAGAAAGCTATCCCAAACGAAGCCTGAATCTAATGTTGAAGGTTTGGATAAGAATATTTGAATAGCAATGTAAAAAAAGTTAACCAAATGGAAAATTTACATCATGAACACGAAAAGTTAAAGATGAACAATACTTCCATGAGCAAGAAATAATCAACAGCATGGAAGTTCAAAGCAATGGGAAATTGATATATTGAAATAATCAATCCATATGTTGCTTTCTCTCCTGTCGCAAATTCAAGTACCAGTTTGCCAGCCGGCGAAGCGTAAGACCTACCATTATTTTGCTTATAGCAAGCATGACATATGTGAGGCTTGACCAGACAATTATCCAAAATAGTCTCCACATGAAGGGGCCATAGGGAAGAAGAGTTGCATAGATTGGAGTTAAAACTCGGATGACCTGCATTAATTGGAGGAGTTGGAAGTTTAGTAAAAGAAGAAAAGAAGCTTTGAACAAGAAAAGATTTGGAAGTATAGCATACCACACAAGCTGGTGCAATGGGAATGAAAGTAAGATCTTTCGGACGGCCCTCGGGCTTCTCATTTAGAGTCTGGAACACAGAAATATGAATGAGTAAAAGAAGAAAATAACATATAAAATATTCCTGATCTGTTGGAAATACTGAATTTACATTTAGTTCTAAATTCTAGAACAAATGACAAATCTATGTACAATTTATAAGATAGGAATGCAAAACATATTTATGCTAATCTTGAAGATCATGGTATGTTTATTTAAGAAATTATCACTTTAAGCTCTACAATATGAACCATATACAATATGCCAACAGGAAGCATACAATGAGTTCCAGTTCACCACGAAAAAAAAAAATTCTAAAAAAAATAAAGGATTAAAACACATGCATAACTAGCTAGATATTCAAATTTCTAGAAAAGGAGGCTTTCCTCTTTTCAAACTTATTTGAAGTTTAGAACGAGCAATAAGTATTAGCGATTAATGAAGAAAGTGAATTAAGATCATCATCATCAAACTCATCCCAACTATTTAGGATCAGCTTTATGAATCCTCAATTTTTGCATGAGTGGGTCATGTGTTACCTGAGATGTTAAATTTATTCTGCACAAATCAACAGTGCATTAAGATGGGATAGGTAAATGACTCAAATAAATATTAGTAGTACCATCAGAATAAAAAAGAGAGGTGATCTCATCTTCATTTAAAATAATTCAAAAACATCATTAATTTTGTTGGATTATGCCTACACTATGAAGCAAGTTATAATTAGTTCATCAATTAATTACTGAGAAACCAACCTGAGTTATAAGCATGAGTATCATTTTAGCAGTTGCATATTTCCAAAAAACCTCACTAAGAATACAATCAATCATCATCATCATTAGGATTGGGTTTATAGATCCATGTTCACCATTGATTATGCATGTTGCATGAGATAAAGCAAATTCACATATTGTTAGCACAACTTTAATCCATATTTCTTTTAGTTTCCTTTTTCTTCCTACTCCTTAAAAATTAACTTTATTGGTGCATCTTCTACCCATTTATTGCACATGCCAAATCATGTAAGTATGTTTTTCAATATCTTATCCTTAACAGATCATCATCACCGCAGGTGTCACTCAACATAAATAAATAAAAAATGATGATTCATAATGTTGGCGCCAAATAGTTGGAGTAATTCACATATCATTTTGAACAACTACTCATGCAACCTTGAATTGACACTTTTTTCCATTCTAATTTTTTTTACCACTAATTATATCAATTCATGTAATGGACATATTTTCTAACTTTCATTATGCATATCCAAATCACCTAAGTTTATTTCAAAAACCTCATCTTAAATTGTTAAAATGGAGAATTTGAGAGGGAAAAGCTTGAAATTATTCATTACAATCTTCCCTATTTATAGATCTATACAAGACATCCTAATGAGGAAATAATAAATTGCATAATTAATAAATAAATAATACATAAAAATCTTTCCTAAATACGTCCCCTCATTATGGCGTAATCCATGAGAGTATCCCACGGATTGATCTTTGTGTCCGTCGGATTCTTTGCACTAGGAACGGCTGGATTTCGATAGCTGGATTTCAACAGTCCCCCTCAAGCTGGGAAATATGGATCCGTCATTCCCAGCTTGTCAATCATACGGAGAAATACAGAACTGTCCAATCCTTTAGTAAGGAAATCTGCAAGTTGATCCTTTGATGATACATAGTCAACACTTACTAGACCACTGTCTAGTTTTTCTTTAATAAAATGTCTGTCCACTTCTATGTGCTTTGTCCTGTCATGCTGGACTGGATTGTGGGCTATGCTGATTGCTGATTTGTTGTCACAATGTAGCTTCATGGGCTCATCCCACTTAACCTTCAGATCTTCTAGGATTATTTTGATCCACAGTAGCTCGCATATTCCCAAGGCCATAGCTCGATATTCTGCTTCTGCACTAGATCTTGCCACCACATTCTGTTTCTTGCTTCTCCATGTAACAAGGTTTCCTCCAAGAAATGTGCAATACCCAGAGGTAGATCTTCTATCAACCGGTGATCCTGCGTAGTCAGCATCCGTGTAAACTTCTAGGGTCATTCCACAATCTCTCTTAAAGAGAATTCCTTTTCCTGGTCTTCCTTTAAGGTAATGCAATATCCTGTCTACCGCTTGCATGTGAATCTGCTTTGGATTCTGCATAAACTGACTGACCATACTTACAGCAAATGCTATGTCTGGTCTAGTATGGGAGAGGTAGATCAATTTCCCTACAAGTCTCTGGTAGGCCCCTTTATCTACATCTGGATCTTCTTTAGCTTCTCCCAATTTAAGATTAGGTTCTACTGGTGTTGGTGCTGGTTTACAGGCAAGTTTACCTGTTTCTTTTAGAAGATCTTTGATATATTTCTGTTGTGAAATGAATATTCCTTTGCTGGAGTGAGCTACTTCAATTCCGAGAAAATATTTTAGTCTACCAAGTTCTTTGATGTCAAATTCCTTAGTAAGATTTTTTCTTAAACTGGCTTTCTCCTCTTCATTATTTCCAGTCAAAATAATATCATCAACATACACTAATAATATTGTGACTCCCCCTGAATCTGAGTGTTTGAAGAATAGTGTATGATCTCCTTGACTCTGTTGATATCCATTCAAGAGCATGAATTTAGAGAATTTTCCGAACCAGGCCCTTGGTGATTGTTTGAGCCCATATAGAGCCTTTTTCAGTTTGCACACCTTGTTACCTTCAGATTTTCCTTTAAAGCCTGGTGGTATTTCCATAAATATCTCTTCTTCTAAGTCTCCATGTAGGAATGCATTTTTCACATCCAGTTGTTCCAGGTGCCAATTGTACTTGGCTGCTAGTGAGAGTAGTATTCGGACAGTATTCATCTTGGCCACAGGTGCAAACGTTTCTTGGTAGTCAATGCCATACGTTTGAGTAAACCCTTTTGCCACTAGTCTTGCCTTATATCTCTCCAGTGTGCCATCAGCTTTGTATTTTACTGAGAACACCCATTTGCAGCCAACCGATTTTTTCCCTATCGGTAGATTGACGATCTCCCATGTTTCGTTCTTCTCCAAAGCCTGCATTTCATCTTTCATGGCATTTCTCCAATTTTTATCAGATAAGGCCTCAAAAACATCTTTAGGAATACGGATATCCTCTAATGAAACAAGAAAATTTTGGTGTGACGATGAAAAATTGTTGAAAGATATAGAGTTGTTTATAGGGTATAAGGGAGGTGGTGAGCTTACCTTATTTCCAGGAGATGGTTCAGATTCTTGGATCTGCTTTGGAGTACAGCTTGAGCTTGTACGTCTGGAGTAAACCTTTCCAAATCTAATAACGTTGTCATGGGTTTCAGGTGGATTATTTTGAGGTGGTGGAGGAATGTCAAGAGGTGCTAGTTCAATTTCCTCATCTTCCTCAAGTTCAGTCTCCCCCTGAAGATGAGTTTTTGAGAAATAGGAATTTTTCTCATCAAAGGTAACATCAATAGAAACAAAGGTTTTTCTTGTGGGAGGATGATAACACTTATAACCTTTTTGGGTTGCTGAATAACCAACAAAGATGCATTTGAGTGCTCTTGGATCTAATTTTCCTCGCTCATGGCTGTGGATATGAACATAGGCAGTGCATCCAAAGACTTTGGGTGCAATATTATGATGGGTTCGAAACTCTGGGTAAAAAGAGGACAAGGTCTCCATTGGAGATTTGAGGCCTAAAGCAGTTGAAGGTAATCGGTTTATGAGATAGGTTGCAGTTAAAAGAGCTTCCCCCCAATAGGATTTGGGTGTATTGTAGTGAAATAGGAAGGCTCGAGTGGTGGCTAGAAGGTGACCATTTTTCCTCTCTGCAACCCCATTTTGTTGTGGGGTGTGAACACATGAGGACTCATGGATGATCCCTTCATTCTGGAAGTATGAGAAAAGGGTTTGGTTGAAATAATCTTTGGCATTATCAGAGCGGAATCTCCGTATTTTTACCCCAAATTGATTTTGGATCATGGAATGAAAGACGGGAAGAATGGTGCTAACATCAGATTTATTTTTAAGGAGATAGATCCAAGAGACTCTAGTGCAATCATCAATAAAAGACACAAACCAGCGTGCCCCGGAGATATTGGGGATTTTTGAGGGTCCCCATATATCACTATGAATAAGGTAGAAAGGAGTGTTACATCTCTCACTTTTGTTTGGGAATGAGGTTCTTTTATGTTTAGCTAACTCACAAGTTTCACAATGAAAATTTTTAGTTTCTATTTTCTGAAACAGTTGTGGATACATATGTCTTAGGATATCAAAAGACGGATGTCCTAGTCTATAATGATGAAGCCAAATAGTGGAATTCCTATCTACTAGGGATAACATGGAGTAATTATTACTAAATTGGTTTGGTTCTTCCAGGTAGTACAATCCAGCTTTCTCCTTAGCAAGTCCAATCTTCTTCCCCGATCTCTGGTCCTGAAATAAGCAATAAGTAGGGTTAAATAAGGCTTGACAATTATGATCATTGGTAAGTTTTTGTATTGATATTAGATTTGTGGATAATTGTGGTACGTGGAGGACGTTTTTCAGGGTGAGTAAGGGAGATAATATGATGTCTCCTTGACCAGCTACCGTGGTAAGAGAACCATCAGCAGTGATGATTTTCTTATTGTTTGGGCAAGGAGTGTAGTTTATGAGGTGGGTAGATGAGTGGGTCATGTGATCTGTGGCTCCTGAATCAATTATCCATAATTCCTTTAGATGATTTCTAGAAGCACTTAAACTGAAAGAAATTGGAGTCTTACCTGAGAGTGCAAGTGAAGAAGAAGCATTTGGTTTTTCAAGAGATACCAGGAGTTGTTTTAATTTGTCAATATCTTCTTTGTTGAATTCTCCAAGATTGGACCGTGCTTCTGGCTTACTTGTAGTGTTGTTGGCATGTGATGTACCCCTTGTTTCACCCTTTTGATTCCACTCCTTGCTGGGGGGTTTACCATGTATTTTCCAGCACGTTTCCTTTGTGTGTCTTGACTTTTTGCAATAGCTGCACCAAAGTGAGTCATTGTCTTTGAACTTTGAAGGATC